TATACATTGTTAAATAAAACAATACAAAGAAAATAAGTTCAAATTTGTATAATATATATATATATATTCAAATACAAATAATAAATAATATATTTTACATATATATAGAAAAAATACGGGCGTAACCCGGAATAGCCTCTAGTTCTAGTAATAACTGGTCTAAACACTACTGACGGTACAATAAGTTTGGTTTTGTCACTCGGTTTGGTCTTTGATTCAACACTTAACCAATTTTTTTTTTTTTGAACACACAACACTTAACCATCTACTGACTCATTATTAAACTAAAACCCTAAATCTTTTCTCCTCTGCACTCTGTGAGGTGGTTCAAACTTGGAAGATTCGTGGTAGGTTTTTCGCATCTTTGCTTCGGTTTAGATATATCAGACTATTTGAATTACCATAGGAGCAACGTGGTGAGTCGTTTTTTTTTGTTTCCCTGAGGTGTCCTTTTGTTTCGCTTTCGATTTGGCTTTCACCCGCGTTGTTTTTTTTATGATCTGGTAAGGTTATATCCTCTTTTCTTTACTTGTATTTAACATTGATTTTATGTGTATGTTTCGTGTGGTGAGTTTTGATAAATGATAAGTTTTGTAGACCGAAGCATAAAACGAATGTGTGTTGATTTAACAAATTTCTTGTTGCTTCCTTTCTTCGTTCAGTTTGCATTAGATTTTACATAATTTTGTTTCGTTCCATTGAATGGACCTGTGAGTTTTTAGTTGAGCTCTTCGGAGATAGTACAAAAACGCTAAAACTCATGGATGTTAATTATGACGTATGAGAATATTTGTTTGCAGAAGGACAGAACTTAGGTTCACCCCCTGTGGTGAATTGTATAATTCACCCCACTTCTCATTACCAATAAAATTGCCATGTAGGATTAATTAAAAAAAATACTGAAATTAAAAAAAAGAAAGGAAAATAGGTTGGAAACAAAAAAGGAACAAACGATATAACGCCGCCGTTAGGAGGAAAAGGAACGTGACGTGATCTGATNGGACAGAACTTAGGTTCACCCCCTGTGGTGAATTGTATAATTCACCCCACTTCTCATTACCAATAAAATTGCCATGTAGGATTAATTAAAAAAAATACTGAAATTAAAAAAAAGAAAGGAAAATAGGTTGGAAACAAAAAAGGAACAAACGATATAACGCCGCCGTTAGGAGGAAAAGGAACGTGACGTGATCTGATTCATCTTCTTCATCCATCGACTATTCTCCCAAATAATCCATAGCTGTGACTTACAGGTTTGAATTATAATCACATCAATGCAGTAGAGAAACATAATTAACCTTAAGTCTAATTGTTATTAGCTTAGAATTGCTAGATCTTTGCCAAATCAAATTGTCTACGTGTATCATAATTGATCTTCTTTTTGATTTTCTGATTATCACATCTATATATGAACATAGCAATACGAGATTAAGTCAGTTAGCTTACGCTATACTTTGGTTGTTTTATTTTGATTATGAACATAGCAATATGAGATTAAGTCAGTTAGGTTAAGCTATATTTTTGTTGCTTTATTGTGATGGTGGTATAAAAATCTCATGCATGTTGCTACACCATTGAAGTCACAATTGTTTTGACAATAACTAATAATTAGAAGAAAAAAAACAAAAAGCATAGTGCTCAAGTCATCCGCATTATCATATACTGGGTGAGTTTTAGTGGTGTTCCAGTGGATGAATTAAAGTTATTATTAGGACATTCTATTGCTTAGCTTGTCACATGGGACATCATAAATATTTTTCATCAATTCCTACATGTTTCTACGCCATCTGTTCAATTATTTATCAATTTTGATTTTTTTCATGTATAAAAGAACATAACTAGACAACTGACCTTGAATATTTTCTTTACGATATGTTAAAAAAACAATTCTAGGCAACAATAAAGCCAAGTCAGGATGTATGAACCTTTTTGTTTTACCTCTGATTGTTTTATATTATCTAAGATAATCTTTAACTGCTGCTGGTATTTTTCTATATAGTTTCAATGGAGAGTGGTCACTTAAATGGTCAAGAAACTGTTTCCGCTAATCAAGATGAATCTAGTTTGCAAGTCTTAGAGGAAACCAGTTTGTTAAGTCAGAATTCAGATGAGTTTTTACCAGAAGTTTTTACCTTGTTCCAGAAGGAATATACAGCTATTGGTGATTATGTTGCCAAAAGAGTCAATAAGTCTGAGATGGTAAGTGCTGAATACAATGTATCTTTTCGTGGTGTTGGAAGAAATCATTTGGTTAACTATGTTGCTGCAAACGAAACGATACATTGTAGTTGCATGAAGTTTTCTTTTGCTGGAATCTTATGCCGTCATGCATTAAAAGTGTTGGCCAAGAAGGATGTTAGAAGAATTCCACCTACCTACATTCTGAATCGATGGAGTAAAGAGGCTAAAGCACGAACCCTATCTTTTTATCATTCAGCGAGACCCAATGATACAGTGAACCAATCAATCGGAAAACGATACAGTCATATATGTCATACTTTTCGTGAGATAGCATCGGTTGCTGCTGAACATATAGAACTGACAATGTGTGCAGATGAAGCTGCCTTTCAGTTGCTTGAAAAATTGGTGGAAAAGAAAAAGGAACTTGTGAAAGCTAATAAATGGATGCTCCGTACTTCAGATTTTGAACTTGTGGAAGAAGAAGAAGAAGAAGAAGGAGAAGAAGTTCTAAATGCACGTGGAATAAAAAGAAAAAATCCTCCTGGACGACCAAAGAACCAAAAAGTCGGACGCCATGGTCGATATTTAAGTGTGCTTGAAACAAAAAATCGCGGTATATCAAAATCATCCACTAAAACAACAACAAAAAAGAAGTTGTCATTTCAGGTATTTGATATATATATATATATATATTTATATTTATATATATGTGTTTTTTGGTCAAATCTTCATTGATTTTTTGGGACTTAATCAATATATATTTCAGGATTCAAGTCTTCCTCTTGATACCGAGTTATCTGTTGCTGCCACTAGTTCGACCTTATACAATGAACCTTCTTTTTCACAACTGCTCCAGGTTAATACTTCATTCTCTACATTATTTATATTTAAATTATCTATCATTTTTTTTCATTTTTTCATGTCTCATATTTTGTAGGGATTTGACAAGAGTTATGGTGAATCATGATAAGACTATATTATCTTAAATGTGAAAGTAGACATTAATTATGTTTTTGTTTTTGTTTCGTTCTTACTTCTGGTGTTTCTAGCATATTCTTGTTTTTACACTTATTATTATCTTCAAAAGTCAAGGTCATATTCAGTTTTAATGTCTCTGGTGAAACTTTAGCGAAGCACACACAATGCGCCAACACTTCATTATCTATTTTATTCTTGTATCTTCAAACAGAATAAACAAAACAGAAGAATAGAAAGATTAACACTAAAGGTTTATGTTGGAACATTGACAAAAACGTGTTGAGGTTGACGTTGCACAAGACTTAAGAAAGTGCCATGCATGAATCACTCCAAACGAGAATATCAACAGCAAAAACGAGATTAACTAACATATCACTCTAATTTTAATCAAATTCCTCTTCTTTTTGGGAAAAATATTTAGTGACCAACTAATAAAATTAAAGCATTTGGTAGTTGATATGCTGCGTCCGATATTTATAATAAGAGATTCCATAAGAGAACGAGGTAATAGTTAATAACTATTGCTATATAACCACAAGTTTTATTACAGAAGATTAAGCTTAGAGAGGCCACAAACAAGAAAGGATGATGACTTCTGAGTGTAAACGATGCAAGCTTTCCTCTACTTATGCTTTAGCTGTGGCTGCTACTTTTCTTAAACCTCGCAATCCAAGTCTTGGTCTGCATCGTCGTCAAAAGATTAAGCTCTGGCTGCTACTTTCTCTGTGTTTTTATTAGAATTTTCAATTCTCTTACAGCAACACAACGCTAACTCTTTTTGTTACACAAGTCATGTTTTCTTTGACTTTCTTCCTTCTTGATATTGTTTTTTCTTCATTCTTTTGTTTCTTGCGGTTCAAGTCTCTTCTTCTTCCTCCTTCTTTGTAGCTTGTTCTTTGCTACTCTTCTTTGTTCTTCTTTTTGGGCATTTTTTTAGATCCACTTCTTGCGGCTTAAGTCTTTTCTTTTGACTGCTTTCTTCTCCATCTTTATCTTTGGTTCACGCCAGAGATAAAACTCAAGTAGCAAGAAAAAATAAAATCCATGGATGAACAATTTGATTTGGCTTAGAGGAGGGTAAATCAAAACTAGATTTGAAAGCACAGAATTGGAGAATCAAACTTGACAAATCCTTGTATTTTTATATGGGACTCTCTGCAGAGAGGATGAAAAAGAAGCCGATGGATGAAGAAGATGAATCAGATCACGTCACGTTCCTTTTCCTCCTAACGGCGGCGTTATATCGTTTGTTCCTTTTTTGTTTCCAACCTATTTTCCTTTCTTTTTTTTAATTTCAGTATTTTTTTTAATTAATCCTACATGGCAATTTTATTGGTAATGAGAAGTGGGGTGAATTATACAATTCACCACAGGGGGTGAACCTAAGTTCTGTCCNATCAGATCACGTCACGTTCCTTTTCCTCCTAACGGCGGCGTTATATCGTTTGTTCCTTTTTTGTTTCCAACCTATTTTCCTTTCTTTTTTTTAATTTCAGTATTTTTTTTAATTAATCCTACATGGCAATTTTATTGGTAATGAGAAGTGGGGTGAATTATACAATTCACCACAGGGGGTGAACCTAAGTTCTGTCCTTACTAGTCATTTAACTTGCTCATATATGTTTCATTACTTTGGAAGTTGATGCTTAATTGCTCTTCGACTTAGAAGACAATAAATATATTCACGTATTTTCGCTTTAGTGAGTTCGATAATATCTTAGTTATAGATTAATTTGTAACAGTATTGTCAGTCTCTGGTACAACTTAATTGACATGTTTGTGGGAAGGACTCCTTTTTGTTTGAGGTACAAAAAGCCTAAGAAAAGTGTTTTTGAAGATAAATGGAGGATCATAAGCCGACGAGTTTCTCGTTTGAGATAGATAACTTCTTACAGAAGGAGGCTGCGATTTCATCCCCAACATTCTCAAGTGGAGGCTGCCAATGGTAAATGAAAGATTTCATATGTGTTTTTGATATTTTATCGTTGTTAATTTAAATCTATTTCTACTTTTTTATTCAGGTATGCAATGGTTTATCCCAAAGGAAATGGAATTGAAGATCACTTGGCTCTATACCTCTATGTTGCGAATTCTGGATCATTTCAACTTGGATGGAAAAGGCGAGCTAAATATTCATTTGTTCTTTTGAATCAGTCCGGCAAAGAAATCCACAAAACAGCTGGTAAGTTAACTAATCAGACACAAGGGTGGATCTGAGAGTTAAAGTGCCAAAAACATTTACTAACAACGGGTTCAAACCCCACTGGCCACACGGATATGGGTTATTGCTTTTGACCCATTTGAATGCCCAGAAGAGGGTCTATCCGTGGGCTGTACCTCCACCCGGGGGTTAGGTCTGAGTCTTTAATAGACCCGGATTTAACCCTTTTTCTGTTACAAAAAAAAAAACATTTACTAAGAACTTCTATAAAAATTTCATATATACAGAAATGGGCCGCCAAGTGTTCTGCGCTCAGGTCCCAGGATGGGGTAATCCAAAGGTCTTGACTCTTAAAAACCTTCAAGAAAAAGGGTTTCTGGAGACGAACTCCAAACTGATAGTTAAAGTCCAAGTGCAAGTACTTGAAGTTTTTAATGAGGCAGAAGTAACTGGGAACGAGACTATGGATGTCAAAGGTTTCCAAGTTCTTTATTCTCAGGTATGATTATGCGTATGCTTCTTGTTGCTGTTTGTTCCTTTCTTTTTCGATTAGTTATAATAAGAAGTTCATGTTTGACAGGCTATTAAAGTAAGTTGGATTTTCCTGAAGCACCCGGGCATTGCTTTGAATTTCAAACCAAAGAGCCAATTGGTGAAGACAACATACATGAATCTCCTCCTCAAGCTCATCGAGAAACTGGACAAACCTCCACATAGCTTCTCCGAGACTGAGCTAAGCAACACTTGCACCGAGTTGGCCGATCTAACAGAGACAGGGTTCAAGCTAGACTGGTTGAAGGAAAAGCTTGATGAGATTTCCTTGGAAAGGAAGAAAATTGATGATGCGTCCCGTATCCAAGAACTTGAACAACAGAACAAGAATCTCAAAGCTGAACTGAACGAGGAGAAGTTTAAATCTGCTACTTTTGCTGCTAAAGTTTTATGGTTGGAGCATACGGTGTCAACCCTCAAAACTAAGAAGCCGAAATTAAGCCCTAACTAATTCTCCCGCAAATTTGGGAATTATTATTTTTGTTTTTCCTTTATCTCAAAGGTGAAGATCAAATCTTGTGATTTGTTTGGACCGATTGATCTGCAATCCTACACGTCCATGTGTTTTTTTTTTTCACTCTGTTCCTAGCTCTTTGTGCCTTCAACTCCTTCCAAATGTTTTAAATTCTTGAAATTTTTATCATTTCAAGGACAGCTCAAGGATAAAAATTTTAAAATGAGAGTTTGAAAATGGTTGTTTTAACAAAAAAACATCACATTTATCTTTAAAACTTTAATTAATTTGAATTTTAGTTTTGAGTTTTTAGTTTTAATACTCCTATAATTTAATTCTAGTCATTACAATTTATACAGAATAATGATATATACAGATTAAAAATATATATATATATTTTTTTATAAATACAATTATGAATGTCGGCTACATACTGAATTAATAATAAATTTACAAAAAAGAAAGAAAAAAAAGAATAATAATAATAATAATAAATTTACAGAGTAATAATATATACGGATTAGAAATATAAAATATAATTTTTATAATTACATAATATATATAAAACATATTAAATCATAATATATCTATACTATTATTTAAGAAGTAATTTTGCTTAGTTGTCATGTTCTCCATAAATTTAGGTGATTTTGTTTATTTATCATATTTTGTTTATTTATATATACTTTATTTATAAATAAAACAAGTTTATATGAATATATCATATTTTTAGTAAATAAGATAATTCTTGTGAATTATGTTGTTATCTTGAAATATATTTTTATATATAAAACTTAAATTTTAAATTAAGATATAAACACTATTATATTTATCTAAAACAAATTTATATTAATAATTTAATATTTAAATATAACTAAAACGAATTTATATTAATAATTTAATATTTTCTAAAATAAGAGAATCATTATGGATTATGTTGTTATGTTGAAAATATATTTTCCTATTCTAAAACTTAAAATTAAGATATATTTAGTTATGATTTAATTAAAATATATTTAATTTTTATATCTAAAACTTAAATTAGTTATTTAATTAAGATATATTTAAGTTTTAAATTAAGATATAAACACAGTTATATTTATCTAAAACAAATTTATATTAATAATTTAATATATAAATATAACTAAAAAGAATTTATATTAATAATTTAATATTTTTCTAAAATAAGATAATCATTATGGATTATGTTGTTGTGTGAAAATATATTTTTCTATTATAAAACTTAAAGTTAAGATATATTAAGTTATGATTTATATTTAATTAAGATATATTTAATTTTTATATATAAAACTGAAATTTTAAATTAAGATATAAACACTATTATATTTATATAAAACGAATTTATATTAATAATTTAATATTTAAATATACCTAAAACGAATATCTATTAATAATTTAATATTTTTTTTAAAATAAGATAATCATTATGGATTATGTTGTTATGTTGAAAATATATTTTTCTATTATAAAACTTAAAATTAAGATATAAAAACTATATTATTAATAATTAAATATAAATCATAATTAAATATAAATCATTAAAATAATTATTTGAAAAGTGAATTTGTTGATTTGTCTCCATGTTCCTAAATAATTTTAATCATTTATCAGAATTTCTATAATTTTGTTTATTGTTGATTATCTAATTAAAACTAATTTATATTAATAAATATTTATACGAGAATTATGCCCGCAAGTGCGGGCAAAATACCTAGTATAAAAATACACATATGGTTATTTCCGTATGCTCCAACTGTGGGACACGGAAGGGTTGCAACTTGCAACTAAACCAGCACAACAAATTTATCAGAAAAGACCAAATTATCCCTAATTGTTTTTCTTGAAACTCGGACTATTCATGGGGGTGTAGTGAATTTTTTACACTCTTCCACGCACAAGCATCCAATGGCACGTTTTATCTGCCCCCAAAAGAGTTTCAAAATTCTTATCCTGAAAAGGATTTGCGATTTATCTTTTTCATAATTTGTCTCTTCGTTTTTTCTTAATGATTTATGACCAAAAAATGAGTCTGTGTCAGAGTCCTTTCCACTTCCTTTCTCTTTCTCTGCTTCCCATTTAAGCTGCTATTCTTGCAAAGTCACCCATTAACCTAAACCCTAGCTAATAATTTCTCTCTACTCTCTTTGAGGTTGATCTAACTCAAATATTCGTGGTGGGATTTTGCATCTCTACTTCGTGTTAAAGCGTTATTTTTTTTTTACGATCTGGTCAGGTTAGATCCTCTTTTCTTTTTTTGATTATTTTAGTTGTTTTGAACGTTGCTTTATGTTTATGTTACGTGTGGTGGGTTTTGATAAGTTTGTAGACCGAAGCTTAAATCAGTTTGTTTGTTAATTCAGAAATTTATCTGTTGCTACGTTACTTTCATTCATTATTTATTAGATTTCAAAATTTTGTTTCCTTGCATTGAGTGGATCTGTAAGTACTCAGTTGAGTTCTTCGGAAAAACAAAATTGTAGAAAAACGATAAAACTCATGGATGTTAATTTTGACATACGAGAATATTGACATGGAGTCATTTGCTCATATGTTTATTCACTTTGGAAGGTGACTTAATTGCTTTTCAACTGACAAGGCTCTTCATGTATTTTGGCTTTTATCAGCTTAGTGAGTTTTCAATAATATCTTTGTTATAAACTTCAAGAAATAATTTTGGTTTCTGGTTCAACTTTCCTGACATGTTTGTGGGAAGGTCGCCTTTTGTAGCCTAAGAAAAGAAAAGTGTTTTTGTAGATAAATGGAGGATCATAAGCCGACGAGTTTCATGTTTGAGATAGATAACTTCTTAGAGAAGGAAGATGAGATTTCATCGCCAACATTCTCAAGTGGAGGCTGCCAATGGTAAATGAAATACTTTATGTTTTTTTTTGTCTAGATAATGAAAAACTTTAATTTAAATCTATTTATACTTTTTTTTATTCAGGTATGCAAGTGTTTATCCCAAAGGAAATGGTATTGACGACCACTTGGCTCTATACCTCCGTGTTTCGAATCTTGGATCATTGCAACTTGGATGGGAAAGGCGAGCTAAATTTTCTTTTGCTCTGTTGAATCAATCCGGCAAAGAATTCTACAAAACAACTGGTACGTTAACTATGCTGGATCTGAGATTTTAAGTGCCATAAACATTTACTAATAACTTTTATAAAAACATCATATATACAGAAGTGTGCCAAGTGTTCTGCGCTCAGGTTCAAGGATGTGGTTATCCAAAGGCCTTGATTCTTAAAAAGCTTCAAGAAAAAGGGTTTCTGGAGACGAACTCCAAACTGATAGTTAAAGTACAAGTACTTGAAGTTGTTAATGAGGCTGAAGTGACTGGGAACGAGACTATGGATGTCAAAGGTTTCCAAGTTCTTTATTCCCAGGTATGATTATGCGTTTGCTTCTTGTTGCTGTTTGTTCCTTTCTTTTTCGATTAGTTATAATAAGAAGTTCATGCTTGACAGGCTATTCAAGTAAGTATGATTTTCGTGAGGCACCCGGACACTGCTTTGAATTTCAAACCAAAGAGCCAATTGGTGAAGACAACATACATGAATCTCCTCCTCAAGCTCATCGAGANCAGGTATGATTATGCGTTTGCTTCTTGTTGCTGTTTGTTCCTTTCTTTTTCGATTAGTTATAATAAGAAGTTCATGCTTGACAGGCTATTCAAGTAAGTATGATTTTCGTGAGGCACCCGGACACTGCTTTGAATTTCAAACCAAAGAGCCAATTGGTGAAGACAACATACATGAATCTCCTCCTCAAGCTCATCGAGAAACTGGACAAGCCTCCACATAGCTTCACCGAGTGTGAGCTAAGCAACATTCGCACCGAGTTGGTTGATCTAACAGAGACAGGGTTCAAGCTAGACTGGCTGGAGGAAAAGCTTGATGAGATTTCTTTGGAGAAGTTCAAAGCTGAACTGAACAAGGAGAAGATCAAATCTGCTACTTCTGCTGCTAAGGTTTTGTTGTTGGAGCAGAAGGTGTCAACTCTCAACAGAAAGCTGAACAAGAAGCCGAAATTAAGCCCTAACTAATTCTCCTGCAAAATTTGGGAACATGTAATATTCTTTTCGTTTATCTCAGAGCTGAAGATCAAATCTTTTTGATGTTAAAACTCACGCTATGTATTTCGGGATTAAAGAATCACTAGATTTTGACTCGTGCGCTCGCACGGAAATAATTTCTCAAAAATATATTGTTATTTTTATATCATTGTTATATCATATATGTGTCATCATATAATTAAATCCTAACGTATTATTGTATAAATAATCATATAATTCATAGTATTTTATACATATCATCATATAAATTAGTGTTGAATTTGCGGATCGACCTTCTCTGTTGTGTTGAATCAGTTTTTTTATTCAAAACTTTGATCCATTTGACATTTAAGTAAAAAAAAAAAATATTTGCCTCCACCACGTTTAAATTTATGGATAACCCACAAGATCCATAGATAAGATTAAATATATTTTTTTTTTTGAAAACAATATATTTTAATTATTTTTTATATTTGTAATTTTTAATTATTTCAAAAATAAAACAATTAAAAATAATTCTTTGTACAAAACATTTTACGGGTTAGCAGGTACTCGCATATTTAAATTTGATCAATTCATACACGCTCCGCATAAAAAAAAACTAAATCCACACCCACCTCACATATTTTTCAAATCTGTTGATCCCCACTCACACTCCAGTGGGTCAAACAGGGCGTAGCCCATGGGAAAAAAATCAAATTCACAAATTTAATATAAATAATCACATATATTATTTTAAAAACTTAATTTGAAATAGAAAAACCACAATATAAATTGGTGTTTGAAACTGAACTTTGTATTATATTTTTCTTATATATACTGAATTTTTTTTATAATCGCTATTGGAATATTTTAGTAAAAATAAATTTTTGAATATATGTATATTTTATAATCAAATTATGATATAAATTAATTTTAAATTATTCTTTTGATTTGTATATAAAGTTTAAATTTTGTGTAATGATTATTTTAAACAAAATATGTTTTTAAGTAATTAGATTGACCTATTTTCATATATTGTAAATCTGACCCAAATAGATAATTTTTTTACTATTCTAAGCCCATTTCTTTTTTTAATATACTGCAATCCAAGTTGACAAACAACAATATATTCTTTTATTAACTGTTATTCATGTTTCCAAACAGCTCTTAAATGTAGTTCAACTTTAATAATATAGATGTGGTATTTTTCTTTTCTTTTTTTAATTAATACTAGATTTTGACCCGCGCAACCGCGCGGCTGTTTGTTTTCGTTTATAGTTAGTTATATAAACATTTTGTTTTCACTTGTAAATTGGTATATATTATAGTAATCACATATTTACGATATGTATAGTAAATGTTTTTCAAACATAATAATATTATATAATACGTGTTTTAATCAAATAGTTTGTTTCTAATTTTCTATATTACACATGTTTTCAAACATGTGTTTGTTTCTTCTTCTACATTTTATTGTTTGTTGATTAATATTTCATTTTTAGATAAAGTAATATAAATAGAGTTTGATTAAATATTAGTATANGATATGTATAGTAAATGTTTTTCAAACATAATAATATTATATAATACGTGTTTTAATCAAATAGTTTGTTTCTAATTTTCTATATTACACATGTTTTCAAACATGTGTTTGTTTCTTCTTCTACATTTTATTGTTTGTTGATTAATATTTCATTTTTAGATAAAGTAATATAAATAGAGTTTGATTAAATATTAGTATACTTTATTTTGTAAAGATAATATAAACTTCAAAGAAATTTTTGCTAAAAACTAAACTTATAGTCTCATAAATTAATATTATAAAAAATTATTAAAAAGAAATTTTGTAAACGATTTCTTTTTTTAAAAAAATATAATTTTAGAATTTTACATCGAAATAAATTTATCTAGTATATATAGCGTGTAAATTTTTTTAGGGTATATAAATATTTCATATTACGAATATATGATTTTGTTAATATATTGTAGATGCATTTAACTATTATTGACATATTTCCTTATAAATAATAGTAGATTCCTAAACTTATATCTATTAACATATTTTGTGTGACTAAGTTGGAAGGTGTGGGGTAATTTACAAAAACCAAATTGTTAAGCGTATCTTTGTTATTATAAATATGATTTTTCATAAGATATAATAATGATAAGATTATTAGAGAGTTAATGTAACATAACTTTCTAGTAATAGTCCATTTTTTTAAAAAAAATCACACATAAAATCAAGTCATGACTTCTGTTTTAATATATAAGATTATAAAATTTATAAATGGTGACCGGGTTGCTATTTAATCGATCCCATGGTTATTGAATGATCGATCTGACTGTAGAAGACTCAATAGATAAACTAAATAAACACACTTGAAAACCAAAATTGAAAATCAGTAAATATACTATTTACCAAACTATACCAAAATAGAATAGGAGATGATATGTAGAAGTAGAACCACATTTCATTTTATACAAAAACACACAAAAATTACAAACTATATTTTGATTATATATGGCATTTGTGGTACACGAAAATGATTTTTCTTTGTTAGCACCAAGAACACAGTATCCAAATGATCACGATGACATTTGCTGCAACCAATGAGCAAAAAAGGTCATATCTCGTTTATGAAAAGAAAAATTAGTTATATAATAACCTTTTCCATCATATATGTGAGAACAATCAAACTATATTTGATACAAACAATATACATGCACTGCTTCAATAAAGCAATGAGACAGTTTCTTTTTGTTTTTGATCTCTCCCTTAAGAGTATGCCTTCATTACTCTAGAGAAGAAAAAAACTTTCTAACCTTCTAACCACTCCACAACACAAAAAAGAAAAAAACATTTGAGCAGCTAATTATAATATGTATGAAGTACTTATAGTTTTTTTGGTAATCATTTTTAAATCTACATATCTCCATGCTGGTCATACACATATATCATGATCTGTATGGACTCCATTTCTCGGTGGCTTCCCAATCTGTAAGCAATCAATGGGTGGAACTGTTGGCGAATTGAGTAACCCAAATGCTCTCCAACAAAATGGATCATACATGTGGTACTGTAGCTGCACTGGTTTTAGCTCTATTCCTGATAATTGCACATCTACGCAAGGGAAACTGTCACTGCAAGCAAAATGCACAGGCTTTACAGTATAAGTGCCACGTATCTTCTCATAAGTGACTCCTTCCACGGCCACTGCTGACGTCTGGTTCTTGCATTTGCTGTGATCACAGTAGAACTGATCTATCACTATAGGAAGCTGAACCTCTGTGAGTTGAATGTTTGAGAATAGTACTCCTTTCACTGATCCTACACCTCCCTGCATTAACATATTAAAAGCTAATTGAAATTTCACTCATTTAATTTTTTTTTTATTTTATGTAAAAGATTTATTGTTAATTACCTGCCAGGTCTTGATCCGGACACCTGTCATTGTGTTGTGCATAACTACATCTCTTACTGTTATGTTGGAGACACAAGCTTTGGTACTGTCTTTACCAAGACTCCCTATGCTGATTCCATGTCCTGGTCCACAATTCACATTGTGAACATACACATTGGAGCAGCCCGTTTGAATTGAAATACAATCATCTCCTGCAAAAAAAACAGAGGAATCAGTTTCACCGAGTTTTAAAGATGTCTTTGACTAATTAAAAATGTGTTTGTACCGCAAGCTAGTGTGCTAGTGTGGATCATGACATCTCTAGTGTTCTGAAGATGAATCCCATCTGTGTTTGGACTGTCTCCGGGAGAAGAAACGGTCACGTCATGAACTAAAACTTGGACGCAGTTATCAAACTTGAGGTGACATTGAGGACTGTTCTGAATGGTTATACCAGTCACTGTCACGTCAATACTCCCATAGAACCGAAGCGCCTGCACCGTTAAAAAACGAGGTAAATAAAATATTTTACCGTGTAGTAAAAAAACATAAAGAGACTACTACATTTTTTTGGTATCTTACCGTTGGTTTAATGCTTGGCATTCCATTAAGCTCACTTCTTATCTGTCATGTGAAGTCAAAACAAAACACAAAAACAGAGTTATGTTTATATTTTTTTTGTCTTAATGTGACGAATGAGATGCATAAGAAGATGACGATGTGGACTTTTTACCGGCATTGGAGGACGTTCTTGAACTGAATTATTTAAGGGGACAATGAGTTTGAAGTCATCATCAATAGGGTAATCAAAAGGGTTATCTTGTTGCCACCAACCAGTGCCTCTTCCATCAATAACACCGTTTCCTTGTATTGTAATTCCTTTAAGCTTTGTGAACTCTATCCACCAGAGAAGACCTCTTCCCCATGACTCAGCGTCTGTAGGAGCTACAATCATCCCATCCAACTGCAACCAAACAAAAGGTTCACTTCTATCATCCCAAAGGGTACATTCTTTACATTTTTTTTATTAAATCTTGATGAGTAAACTCTCACCTGGAATACAATGTTTGCTTGACAATAAGGACCTGAGAAGGAGATAGGGCCAATGAGGAAGATATAGTCAGACGGTATGACCATAGTTGACGCCTCCACTTTGCAAGCAGAAGCCCATGTTGCCTCAAACGCCTGCAGATAATGTTAAAACATTTTTTTATTTTTTATGTTAAAACATTTTTTTATTATTATTTTTTTTCTCACAGCAAACAGAATTGTGGAGGAAAATCACAGAGACTCTGGTCCCCTCTTAAATTGAGTAACTTTGTTGTCACGTCTCTACAGTTGTTTGTTTGGTTTTAACGAACTTAAAACATTAAATGGAAAATAAAAAAGTTAACTATACTTTATAGACAAAAGAGAAAGCTTTTGTGAGTTCTGTTTCTTGTTCTGTCTCGTGTTTACCTTCTCAACTGTAATTCACATTCTGTTTTTATTTTATTTTCTAGAAAGTAATTCTAATGAAAGCGAAGATTAAATTCTTGATTTAATCAAGAACCAATAGATTGAATTTTGTAGTTGGATAATGAAATGTTTTTGAATCTGTACCTCAGTGTCATCACTCATTCCATCACCCTTAGCGCCAAAATCAAGCACATTGAATTCTTGAGACCCTTCAAGTGGCTGCAGGGGAAGTGGTGGCCGTGGCGGTTGTACTTGTGGTGGTGATGGCGGTTGGACTTTTGGTGGTGGCGGCGGTTGGACTTGTGGTGGTTGTGGCAGGACAGGTGAGCCGGATTTTAGCGGCGGGGTTTTCAGTTTTGGCTTTGACTTATGAGAATGGCTATGGCTATTGTGGTGGCTTTTTGGTTTCTTGCTGGACAAGGAATCAGACAAAGTTGAGGAAGCAGAGGAGCTGCTATGGTGGTGTCGCCAATGTCTTCCTTTTCTGGCAATGCAGGTCTCTAGAGTTACAGACCAGACCAGAACTGCCATAAGAATCATCACTGTGATGCTTTTTAGCCTTAGAGTCTCTCTCGTTATCATGGTGTATGTGTGTTGTATGATATGTTTTTTTTTGTATGTGGTTGTTTGAGACAGACAAGAAGGAGAAGATGAGACTTTAGTTTATGTGTTGGTGTTATAGATTGAATGAAAAGAAATAGGTTTATATAAGGAGGCGGTCCAAGAATATAGAAGAAGTCACGGGAGTCCAACATGAAATTTCATGATGTAGTCAAGGAAAAACATTGCTTTCCTAATAAACTCAAAATTTTAGAAGTCTAAGGCTACTACTACTACTACATACCACTATGATGATTGGATTGTATTGTAAATTTTAAAATAAAACTAGATAATGATCCACGCACCCGCGCGGATTTTAGTTTTTGGATGTATTTTATATAATTAGTTTTATAGTTTCAAATTTGTCCAATTTGATTTTATGTTTAAAGAATCATATCAAAACTGCCTTTTGTATTAATAGCGTCAAACAGTGTATTATGTAGATGTAACGGTGCAGTGAAAATATTAATTTTTGTATTTTTGTTCGAAAAATCAATATCAAATTCAAACTTAATTGTTTGCTTTAAAAAAATAAGTTAAGAGTTTAGTTAATTCTGATGTTAATAATTATTCAAAACTTTTAAAATAATATATAAATTCTTAGAATTTTTAGCCTTAATCTTTATTTTATAAGTTAGGCCACAAACTTAACTTTCATCTTAACTTTACAAGGGCGGAATATTTTATGATGATAATTTTTATAAATAAGTTAACAAATATTTTTTAAATTTGAATAAATTATGTATTTAAAATATGTATTGAAAATATTTATTCAGTTTTTAAATTCAACTTGAACCACGGTTAAATCGGTGATCCGATGATTCAATTTTTATTTTAAAATATATATATTTAAAAAATCACTAAAACCCGAGATTAACCGATTGAACCGATTGATAACTGATATGTAATATTTAAACCTGTAAAAATAATTTTATTTTTGTTGTTTTATATATTATCGAAATTTTTTAGTTCATCTAAATAATTTGAAAGAAAATTGTGAGAAATTATTGAAAAAAGTGAGATCTAATATTTTGTATTGTTTGGACATAAGATTAATTATAGTGTTGTTTGGAAACATTGATAGTAGTATAAGGAAATGAATATATTGTTTGAAAATATGGATAGTAGTATATAAAGATATAAATATATTATTTGGAAACATGAATAGTAGTATTAAAATGAATATAGTGATTTAAGATAGATTTAACTATAAAGTAGAATGATGTATTTAATTTAAAAACTTATAAAATAAATGTTAGATCTAATCTAATATTTCTGATTTAATAAGACAGTTTGATGATGACAACGGCTAATTGTAGTATTCTTATTTATTATACAACAATATGTATTCATTACTTGATACCAAAAGTTAAAACTTTGTACGTTATCCCTTATATATTAAAAGAGAAGCATTTTGCATTAAATGTTTTCACACCACCTTCTCACAATTTATTACTTATTTACTATCTTCTCACAATTTATTACCTTATTTACTACATTCTCACAATATATTACCTTATTTAGTTCAACAATTGTTTACCTTATTTACTTCAATTATAAAACACACGAGATACTTTAAAACTACAAAGTTCAATATCGCATTAGACAAGTTCGGAGGTAAGTAAATTGGCTTGAGGGTCGATGTCAAAGTTCTGGAACGTCATTATTAGAGCGGTGGGACGTATCTAAGATGATGGATGTGAAGGGCAACGTACCGGAGCCCATGAACGCGATCTTGGTTTGGACATGGCTCGTGTGTAGCGTGAAGAGATTGAACTCAACCTTGCTAAGTTTGAGGTAGTTAGTGTACTGAGGATAGATCAAAATGATGAAATGTGTTGTCTCCGAGAGATCCCAAGGCCGTATAGTAGTGGTGCTCTGAAAACTCTATATCTTCACTACGTAGGTTGGTGAGATTGGTTCTGTAGTTATGGACTTTTGGGCACAAGTTTTTACCGTCGATTTTTGTATCCATAGGCAAGGACGTGGGCATGAGCTATTGAACAAATTGTCGACATATATATGTGAAAGGTTTAAGGGCTCTTGAGATTGGAGATTTCGTTATACAAGCCGAGAATTTGCTTCTCGAAATGAGCCTTTTCACAACCCATCTCGAGACTAAAAGTAGATTTGGGATTGTCTCAATACTCTTAATGGTATTGACAGCAATATACTTTTATCTTACGTGTTTCCATGTCGTGTGGATGACAAAAAAACAGATATATGAGACAAAATCGCAATTTAACCAAAAAGACAATATTTATAATATAGATATATAATTGGACGATATTAAAACCCGAAACAACCAATCCAAAACAAACTAATATGCAAATAAAACAGATATAATGTCTTCTTATCTTCAAAAAATACAACAAATTTAATCATCTCATTCCGCGCAAGGCGTGGGTCTAATCCTAGTATTTATTAAAACATAAACATTATTTGAAATAAACTTTGTCATTATACTTTTTTTTAAATAGCTTTGTCATCCCCTATATATTAAAAGAGAAGCATTGGCTTTAATGTTTTCACACTACTTTTGCCACGTGTCGTCTTAATAGAACTTCTCGCATTTTTATTTCCATTTTTGCTTATAAGTTAAAATCAAACTAAACTCTTCATCGTAAAAAAATAACAACGTAAACGGCTTAGAAGTTTTAAAAAACGAGATATGTAATTTGTGTGCAAGAGTTATTGATGAACATGTGGAAGAAACTCTGTCTATGTCCATTATTTTCTCGACAAAAGAAGTGATGGTAGCTCAGCTGATGACGATCGTATAACGTCTCTGAAAGAATTGATGTTTTCTTAACTTCGAAGTGATTTGATACGAAAGAAAGATAGCATGAAAGCTTCTTCTCTGGTTTCTTCACAGAGCTTCCACCAATAAGAACTCGCGATAGTCTTTGAAAGTGACAAGCTTCTTCTCCGGTATCATCGAGCAATGTCTGAAAAACGTGATTTAATTCCTTGATAAAAGACGTGAGAAGGATTGGTTGACTAACTTGAAGAATATTTATTGAGCTTTATCTAACCATAATGGTTGTTTTACTGAAGCTTACATGGGTTTTATCCTTCCTTTGAGCTTTCAGGAGTTGTATGTAAGTGAGATGAACTGGATGAAAAAACGACAAAGCTTTTCTTACTGAAACCAACATGGATGTTTTCCTTCTTTTAAGCTTTCACTAGGCTGTACTTCATGAAGTAAAGAGTGGAATAATAACAGATAGCACGCACCTCGCTTTGGATGAGATTATAGGCAGCCAGCAACAACAAGAAGAACATACCTACGCAAAAAAAGTAAAGGTTAAGAGAATACATCATCAAAGAGCACTCATGGTGAATTACTTTGATGTGTGTCATTCCAAGAAGAAGGGTTTTAGGAAATTGTGTGTGTGAATAATGTTTAGTTGAAGTCTAAGAGTACTAAAACAATTTGGCATATCATTTCCGAGCCTAAACACAAGTTATCACAAATATTTCTTGGATCTTCTAGGTGTAGTGAGCAAAGTTACTTAGATTCATGGTGTTTCCCTTAATGTGGATTTCTCTAAGTTATGGATCTTCTAGCTGATGTCTTGGACTTCTGAAATCACCGTCACACTTGTGCAGTCTCCCTCTCCCTCTACAGAGTTTCTTCTTATTCCCCTTCCATGGCCAATGCTCGGATCTGTTCAAATATCAGGGTAAATATGATGAGATCATTTCACAAATATTTATGATACATGGTTCATTTTACAGAGTATGACATTTACTTAGAAGGTTTCAATGGAAATACAGTTTGTGTGTTACGATTTCATGTTTTGTATCACGTAATATGCATGGAACATGATAACATATTAGACTATATGTCACTAGTCATATGTACATGTCACCTAATGTATGTTATAAAAAAAATTTAACATATGCTATATAGTTATAAAATATGATATATATATATATATATGTTCTATAGTTATTAAATATACATTTAGAGTGTATGTAAAATCCCGTCATTTTGATCTTAACTATCCATTACTAAACTTTCAGGCTTATTAAGAAACATTAATTTCGTAACAAAACAATTTAGAGGGAAAGCATATTTAATGATACACGGCCAAATATGGAAAGTCATATAAGATCTAAAATGTTTTTGAATTCACATCTACATATAATACTCTCTTCATGTTAATGCTTGATTGACAAGCCTGTCAATATGTAATAAATATATCCAAATTCAATGTAGATTATTTATTCATAACATATTTTACTTATTTTAGATATGTAATTAATATTGTCTTTCTGAATTAACAATGGTACAATATTCTATCCTAATATTTTGAGAATACTATATAAACAACTCGTGCCTCTCAAAAAACATTATACCCGAGCAAATTTTAAAAATGATTTGATGTCCACCAAAGTATTACATTATAATACTTTGTAAACTTGATTGGTGTCCACTTGATTAAAACTGGAATTGGTGTCCACTTAATTTGCTCGGGTTTCAGTTCAGAAACTTGATTAAAATTTGCTCGGGTGTTAAAAAGGAATTGGTGTCCACCAAAGTATTACAATTTCAAACTTCTACAAAAGTATTATCAGATTTTATTATTGTATTATATTGTCATAATATATCCAGTATAATCTAATAGTGATTCATTTTTATAGGCACAAGTTGCATTTGATTGTTCTAGACAATACTCGCAACTCAAAATTTCTCATATTTGATAATCTTGCTATTCATCGATATATCAACCTTGCATTAAGCTGGCTGGACTTAATGATGATGAGGTATTATAGTTGGTGATATATAAAAAAAATGGATTACTATTTCTTCCACAATGGATTGATTTTATTTATCTAGAATGAAAATCCGTTGAACCCATTTTATAATTAGGAATCACTTAGAAATTATAACATTACTGAAAATGTAAGAAAACACTATAAAATCACAAATCCTAATCAAACAAATTAAAAGCAGTTTCCTAATATGTCTCAAAACATAGTACTTTTATATAAATTTTTTTTATTAAATTCAATTAGATTAGTTTTTTTTTTAAAACCACTCAAGCTTTTAAACAATAACATTTATCA